GGGTGCCCTAAGTTAGGAATCAGTCATGTAAGGAGGAAGATCCATTAATATTTTAGCCTAAACAGCACTTCACACTGTAATAGGTCATAATTTGTCCCTTCTTGTCTTTCTTTGATAGCATTTTGAGTGGATAACAACTGTTTACACCTAATTCCACAATTCATCACTTTTACTAGGACTAGACTGCTCAAAAGATACTTGAATTGGATTAATCCGCTATAACATTTCGTCTCTTTGAATTAATCTTAATTTCTAATATGATCTTTAAAATTGAATGATACTAAAACAACAACGGAGGATTGTGGTATGGTTGAGATTGATCACTCCAACCACGTTCAGAGGTTTTAGGTTCGAGTTTTGAGAATAAAGAATCTTTTAATGTAGAACACATAATCATCAAATCTACTGACATAAATTTGAATTAATCGGCCTAGTGAAGTTTATCCCTAGAGAGTGATCGGACGCTATATTTTATAATATTCATGTTGATTTTAGCAGCAATGTAATTTTTTAATTAATAAGCTGGAGTGAGAGATATTTTTGATCAATTGTCTCAGATATATAAAAAAGGAAGGGATGGAGAAAAGACGTAGTGCACTCTGCCAGTCTTGATTTTGACATCCTCAGGGCCTTTGTGCCGACTTAACTTCTTGTACTCTAAAGGACAAAACCTCATATTTAAGCCTGAATATTCAACAGTGAATCATAGGTAATCAGTGCCTTCTTACTTCCCAAAGTAGATAAAGATGTAACAGTACGTGGTACTAGAGTAAATTTATAGAAAATCCAGTATACAGGGAAAAGCTTTTGTTCTGGAAAAATTCTTCAATTTCTTCTTTTTAACTTTTGAAAGGATTGTCCCTAATTTGTTAGATACCTTTTCTTGTCCTCGTTGACCTATTGGGGAGTGTTCAGTTATGATTTTTTCGATTATCCTCCCATGAATGTGATCTTTTAACATTGATAATTAAACTGATAAATATAATTTGTAGTAACTTGAGATACATTATTAAGCTGGGACTTAATTGCCAGGGCATAATTTACAATCAAACCAGGTCAAAGTCGTCATGGATCCTTTAAGAACAAAGTATGTCCTAATTTATATAAGCGGACCTGATTCTTTTTTAGGGAAAACGTCCAAATTTATTTCTCTACTTTTGAATATTGTCTACGTCTAATCATCGTTATATTATTCGGTCAAATTTACTCTTATCATCAGTAAGTACACTTTTAAAAATTACCCCTCAGTCCGTTAGGTAATTCAAAATCTCCCAAATCCCATTTTGTTAAATCATTTGTTATTCTTCTTGATCCAGTATTTTCAGAAATTTCTATTAATGAGAATGGCAAATGCTCTAAACTATACAAAATATTCATGAATATTTTTAATTACCACTGCACCCACTTCTCTTCTTTGCTAATGGTTTTTGAATTGGTTTAAATTTTTTATAATTTTCAACCATGAACACACCGCAGAATTTTGTGGGTCTATTTGTTATAGTATATTATATGCGGCTAATCATCATGTATGTCCATGTATATTCGAATATATTTTGAAATTGTCTAGTAAGTATTGAGTTCAGTCCACAAACTTAATAGTGCACATTGCGTAGGCATTTGATTAAAGTAAAGTTGAATTTGAACAATGCAAAATCTCCGAGAAACTTTAACTTCTATCACTAATACTTGCAAAGTCTTCGTATCTTTGGTGGAACAAATTCATTAAAGTTGAGGTGTTGTAAATACTTTTAAAATTTAGACAAGCTACCTAATTTAGATTCTTTAACTTGCTATACTTTGTTTACTAAGTGCTACATTGTTTTAAAATTCTTTTTTTTTATTTTTTTTTTTCAATTAAGAAAGCATGTAAATGCCAATTATTTTAAAAATAGTGGATCAAGAAGAAGAATAAGTGACTTAACTAAAATAATTTGGGAGATTTGGGGTCACCTGACGGAGTGAGGGGTAATTTTTAAAAGTTTGTTGGTGATAGGGGTAAATTTGGCTGAATAGTATAACGGAGGTTAGATGTAAATAATATTCAAAAGTAGAAGGATAAATTTGGATCTTTTCCTTTTTTTTTATGGGACAACACGTGATATTTTTGTTTAATGAGTAGCGACGAGATTTGAACTAAAGAGCTCTATTTAATCTAACACCATATTAAATTGTATAATAATCTTATAAAAATTTAAACGAATAACTACCTACACAAAAATTTCTTTACAATATAGTTAAACTCTTAAATGTATTATGCCTTCAACGTTCCAAATGTTTTGCACCTATATCCAGTTCAACATTTAAAACCAGTAATAACAGTGGTGACATTTTGTTCCCGTTTCACCTACGATACTTTATGAGTCAAATTATGAAATTTAAGCTATTAATTTTTGGAGTAATTCTTTGAACCGTTTGCAAAATCCACAGTCATAATACTACTCCCTCTGTCCCAGTGCTATTTCTTTTTTGGTCCGTTCCAAAAAGAATGAACCCTTTCTAAATTTGGTAACAATTTAGCTTAAAGTTACAACTCTATCCTTAATGAGAAGCGTTTATAACCATACAAATACTTTGGGTTCCATTTGGACTTGTTTAGGACCACAAATTCCAAAAGTCTTCATTTCTTTCTTAAACTCCGTGCTCAGTCAACAGATTCACATAAATTAGAACGGAGTGATTACTTCATTTTCGATCTAAGAAAACACTGTGTATGTCAGTGCATTGAATAGGACGTACGGCTACTGTGAGAGTTAAATCAAATAAAACAATAGCTTATTCACATAAATATGTACGGTTTAACAAGCATATCTCTGTTTCAAACAGCTGAAACTTCCTTAGTTAGAAATGTAAATTATATGAAGGTTCTTTTTGAACTAATGTTTTCTGTTTTCGAATTGAGTAGGCAGTCATGCATATTATAACAAAGAGAAACCGAGACTGTGAATACGTCTGCCATAATATGATGAGCTTATGGCTTGCGTTCCCAGGCTTTTCTTTTTTCTTTTGACAAAAGTTAATGAAATCGTCTTCCATATTTTTAGGCAAATGCAGCATAGCTTTCTTCTATTTTACCTACTCTTTTCTTTTTCCAAAGTTAGTAGCCTTAGCTATCCGTACGATCGACATGCATGCATAGTGCACGTGAGATGGTGTGTTTTATTCCTCAATTAATACCTTTAAACTTAGTAGAATTAATGGTACTCCATAATATTCCTTGTATAGTACTGTACAAACTCAATAATAAACCAAAAACAGCTAAGAAAAATTGAGGGGGTGAGGGGATGGAAATTTTTGGATTTTATCTTGCATGGCGTTAATTCCATATGTTATGATACTCTTTCTATTTTGATATGTATCGACATGTACGTTGGTATCATTCTACTGCTAATACTTCCTTTTTGTGTAAATCCGGGCATAGATTTATAAGGTTTTTTAAAATAAAATTTTCATATTTAAAACTGCATACGTGAAAAGTACTAGTCCTCCCATTTCAATAGATTGACACTATTTTCTTATTAGTTCGTTCCAAAAAAAATTTACACATTCATATATTTCCTTAATTATAGCCATACAAATATTATAACTTATTTAAGATCATAAGTTTCAAAAGCTTTATAGTCACACAAATTTTAAAGCATGTTTAATACCACACGTTTAAAAGTCTTCCTCTCTTATTAAAACTTTGTTTCAAGTCAAAGTAAGACAAATAAAACAAATTAAAACAAAAAGAGTATAAATTAAGATAATTAATAAGTCCAAATATTTAAATTATAGTCAAGAAAAAAGCACTTTTGACTCCCAAATAATGATAGTGTCAAAAATGAGATATAAAAATATTATTAACACAACTTTTAAGAATCACATTTTCCTTTAGCTTTATTATTCTTTAATTTTTGTATGATATTTTCTATCAAATTATGTCTACATTAATTTAATATTTGCTTTATACCTAGTCTAAAGGTAAAAATTTAGCTGCAGTAGGTGTTTGCACCAAATATATACCGTAATATTAATTATAATTAAGTGAAATAATTGTATATATAAACACATATTATGTACCTATTGATTTAGTGTAAATATAAAGTACAAGTTAGTTTTTAGTACTCCTAGTCAAATGATATTAAATAAAATAAAACAAAAGAAATATCAAAGGGGAGCATTGGTGTAACTGGTAAAGTTGTTACCATGTGTCCAGAAAGTCACGAGTTCGAGCCGTGGAAATAACATCTTGGTCCAGCCCTTTCCGAGATCTCACACATATCGAAAGGGAGCATATTTGCATAACTGGTAAAATTCTTACCATGAGACCAGAAGGTCACGGATTCGAGCCGTAAAAATAGTCTCTTGGTCCGACCCTTCCCGGGATCTCATGCATAACCGAAGCTTAGTGCACCGGAATCCCACGCATAGCGAAAGCTTAGTATACCGTGGTGCCTTTTAAGAGCAAGGAAATATCATTCTAGAATTGTGCACTGCTGGCGGAGGTACAAATCGTGACCATGCATGATAACATCAACAGCTGTCATGTATGCCGGCATAGTTTTAAGTCTATTACAAAGTCTTCATTAAAGAGTTATATGAAGATTATTATGATTTTATAATAAAGCAAGTTAGGTTAAAAGCTCTCTTATGTCGCAAAAATTAAAGACTAAATTACTGGTAGCAAATTTTATTATTAGCCAACCCTTATAAATATCTGCCCAACCACATTAGTTCCTTGTCACAAAGTACCATATCTTCACTCCTATCCCATATCTCTTCCTCTCTCTCCTTTTTTCTTCATTTGTTTTTTAAAAGATGGATAAAAAACCATGCAACTCTCAAGATGTTGAAGTGAGGAAAGGACCTTGGACTATGGAAGAGGATTTAATTCTCATTAACTACATTGCTAATCATGGTGAAGGTGTTTGGAATTCCTTAGCTAAATCTGCTGGTAATTTTTCCCTTTTTTCCCCTTAATTCCTTTGTCAGTAACAAAACCCTAGATATCATTTTGTTATATGTAGGAACACTATTTTATATGTCTCAATATTCTTTCTCTAGGTCTCAAACGTACCGGAAAAAGCTGTCGGCTCCGGTGGCTAAATTATCTCCGGCCTGATGTCCGGAGGGGAAATATTACACCTGAAGAACAACTTTTGATAATGGAACTGCATGCTAAGTGGGGAAACAGGTGAGTATTTCTAAAGATCGTAGTACATAAAATAATTAAAATTCAATTGCAAAAGAAAAAATTGGAAACTGATGGAATTTTTTCCATCAAGTTTTGATTCTCCCATTTGTTGAGTGGACAAAGAGAGCCGCTCAAAATATTGTCAAAAATGATTCTAATCTCGTGGCTGTGACCCATAACCTGTTCATCGTGGTACTAGATTTGGAATGAAAGAAAGTGAGTATTTAAAACGTGTTATATGTTTATGGCTACGTACTGAAGATCTTAGAATTGAAACGTGGGGAATATAATCTATAGCTACGGCAGCTAAATTTTGTTCCCTTTATTTTTTTTGGTCCTATCAAAAGTTCTTCTTCCTAAACCACTCATCTACCCTATGTCTTCCATGAATAAAATTTAAAAATGATTATTTTCCTTTTCTTAAGCTTATTTTTCAGATCTATTATCGAGCTATATAGTACTCCTTCTATTCCAGTTTATGTGAACCTATTTCCTTTTTGGTTCGTTCCAAAAAAATGACCTCTTTCTAAATTTGGTAACAATTTAGCTTAAACTTACAATTCTACCCTTAATGAGAAGCTTTTATAATCACACAAACACTCTGGGCCCCTTTTTGACTTGTTTAGGACCACAAATTCCAAAAGTCTTTATTTTTTTTTAAACTCCGTGTCTAGTCAAATAGGTTCGCTTAAATTGGAACGGAGGGAGTATATATACTAAAGAAACCATACTAATAATAAAACATACAGTTTTTGGAGAATTTATTTCCCATACAAGAAGCTCTTTTTGTTCAAGTATTTTTTTTTTCTTAATGATAAAGCACATTTTGTATTATTTTCTATTTTAAGGAAATTATTTTTAAAACCATTTTATGCTTTATTCTTTTTTTAAAAAGTGCTTTATTACTTGAGTTTGACAACCTAAGATAGATCTTTAGGCTAATAATCACATTAAAGGCAAGCTTGGGATGTTGATTAACTTGTATGAAGTGATAACAATGTCACTTCCACAATTATTATTAGAAAGAAAATTACGCTTTAAGAATATGATTACATGTACTTCATTTGTTTTCCAATTAAACTAAGTAGAAAAGGACAGTGGTGAGACAAGGATTCGGTCTTACATAATAATAATAGCAGTGGATATAGAACACGTTTTCAAAGAAAGCCAGAAAGATAGAAGTTTCCGTTTTTAGAAGAACCGATTTCATTTTAGTCACATGTCAAGCCCTTTAACTGCTATCTCTAGTCTCTAGTTTTCAAAGAGAAGCTCCCACCTCCAAGTTGCTTATGAAATTGACAGCTACCTTATGTTTTTGTTGGTATTTAAAGACAATGGGCCCCTTTTCCGTACATTAGAAATTTTACTTGTATAATACTTCATGTTTCGGTTTAGATGAGGTAAGAAAAAAATTAGAAACTTTTGAAACTTGTGATCTTAAAAGTTTAAGGGATAAAAGCTTTGTGAGGTCATGATATTTGTGTGGTTGTAAAAGTTTCTCATTAAAGGTAAAATGAGTAAAGTGAAAAGTTTAACGTTGAATTATTTTTAACAATAGAAATGTGTCATTCTTTTTAAAACAGACTAATAAGAAAAGTGTGTCATCTAAATTGAAACGGAGGAAATACTTACATGATTAATTCCATTGGATGATTGTGATCTCTCCACCATTAGATATCTTGAATTTGAGTGATAAGAATGAAGATTTTCTTGATAACTTGTGCTTTACCTTCTTGGCACAAATCTAAACTAGTCGAATTAATGGGCTTGGGATACAAAGATAGTTAAACATAACAAAAAATAGTTAGTATGTAAAAACAAGATCGTCAGTGTTTTAACACCATGATTGAAAAACTAGAATCCAATAAGAAATTGCTAGCCTGTGTTAAGATATAAATTGCAATTAACTAATTAAAATTATGTTTTTTAATAATTTATTAAGTTATTATATGTTGACATGAGGTTAAGATAACCACTTTGTTAGTACTTGTTTCTGCATGCTTAAAGGAAAAAACAGAAACAAAAAGAAGACACTAGCTAGCTTGGCCCACAAAATTAATCACTAGATATATAATGCAAGAAATTTTACAAGGCTGACAAATTGCATTTTCAAAAGTGATAGCAGACAATTTTTGTTGTTGTTTATTTATGAAGTCATCAGCTGCTAGTCAAATCCTAACTGCCACAAAATAGGCTTTATTTCATCAGTCAAGAAGTCGTTTATGAAATATATTTTCTTTTCCTCAATTGCAAGACATTAAAGGAAAAGATATTTTATTCTCCTCTTATTTTTTGGAGGTTTTGATGTGTGACTGAGTATATACAATTAAATGTGACAATCATCAAAATTGATTTTTTTTCTTAAAAAATTTGGGTTTAAATATTGAACGATACTAGTTTATATAATGTAACATAACACGTACTACTGTATTTATTATATTATGTGGCTAGTGATAGTGTAACGTTACCATAAAACTAGTTGACGACGATTAGGCATTGCAAAGACGTCTGTATTCTTCATCAGCTTGGCATCGTCTTCAGCTTACTCTAATATTTGATGACTTCTTTCAATTTGTTACTCTTTTGGAGGCATTGGTGACTCTACTATTGGAGAAGTTGTAAGTGTCCTGTGAGGAGGATTTCTTTTGTTTCAACGTTTTGTAAGTTTGAGTTTCGTTTAAATAAATATATAGGAGAAGGAGGCAAACGTGACTTTGAATTTCAACCACAGAACATGACAGGCATTATTTGTCAACAACAAACGTGATTGAAATGCTTATTTCAATTATGAAAAACCTGTAATCTAACTTTGTGGGCCATGAACATATTGACACTCTTACCAACATCTTAGGGGGGAAAAAATTAATACTTTATATTATTGCTTTATTGGATTAGTATGTTATAAAATTGCTATAGCAGATCTATTAACCATGTATTTTTCAGTCTCACGTTAAAGATGTTACTAGAAGTTTACTGAAGATTAAGTGTTAACAATAGGACTTTTTGCAATTGTTCTTGTTAAATAATTACTTACTGTCTGTTCTTGTTACATTATCCTCTTTTTCCGTTGAAATATCGCAGTTGATAATGTTGTAATATATGGTGCGCGTAGATGTCACATGCAGAATTAGGGCAGATTAAACTGAATCCATTACTTTCAGCTCGAAACTCGTGCACTAACTCTAAATATTGAATCCGTTTTTGACACAGGTGGTCAAAAATTGCAAAGCATTTGCCAGGAAGAACAGATAACGAGATAAAAAACTATTGGAGGACAAGGATTCAGAAGCACATAAAGCAAGCAGAAAACATGAATGGACAAGTAGCTAATTCTGAGCAAAATGATCATCAAGAAGGAAGCAGTAGCCATATGTCGTCTGCTGGTCCGGCAGAGACTTACTCTCCAACTTCATACTCTGCGAATATTGACACTACTTTGCAAGGCCCTTTTCTCACTGAAACAAATGACAACATTTGGAGCATGGAGGATATCTGGTCCATGCAATTGCTTAACGGCGATTAAGTATGTTGTTGAATATTTTAATTTGAGTTAAACCCTAGATTGAACCCCACTTAGTACCTACTATAAACTTAAGCTGCTAGATATAAATAGCTAGCACACTATATATAGATTGCTAAAATTCCCCATAATATATCCCCCCATATTGTGGTTCCTGAGTTAAGTGTTCACTGTGTAATACAACAAACTCTAATATAACCCCTGTTCATATAATATATAATAGATGCGTGGAGGTGGCTATATATGATTTTATTAACCCTTTATTACTACGCTAGAAGCTTTTCTTATAGTTTGGAATAAACCATCAATATACATAATTTAAAAGTAAATTCAATTTTTTGGCAAAGGAGATTCAACTGGTTACCTAATCCATCAAATAAGCGCTTTTCAAAGCCTTCTTTTAATGATTTTGTATTGATCAAGTCTAGTTACAAGTTACAAAACAAAGTCATGGTCAAGCAATGATTATGTGTCTTAATCTGCTCTCAAAAATATATTTAATTAGCCGACTTAATACAGTTCTAGTGTACTTGCAGTAATCATTTGAGGAAAATGCAACTCACCAACTACTCATCTAATTAAGCTAAGTAATTTGTAGATGGGAATTTAATCTGTTTGACAAAGACATCAATGTGATTAGACAACTGAAGTGCTATTAGGGGTTTGGTACTTTCACAATTTTTCTGGAACATTAAGCTTCGATTTGTGTCCTAGAGGATTAGCCTTTAGGGTCAGTGTAAGAATAATTGCTCGTACCTAATATCCAATGTCAGCGTAAATGAATTTTAAATGCAAAAAATTACTTGTATTATGAGTCTTTTAAATATTTAATTTCGCTTATTATTGTAGTTATCTTTAAGTATTTTTTATGTGAATAATTTTTTTTACATTATTAGTATTTAAAAATATAGAATGCAAAGAAATGCATCATGAAGAAATATGGGGCATGCGTGAAGAGAATATGACACATATATATAGTCATAGATAATAAAACAAGCATAAAAATATTCATCTCCAGCATATACCGAACTTTATTAATTGAAAATGGACACACGGAAAGGCAACATAGCTATTTTTGGCAAAATCAATCGTTGCTTTCCATATTTAACTATATTTGTGCATGGCCTTGCATGTTTGAAGTTCGACGTAAGCCTAACTCTTGAATCCTCCGAAGGAAGTCTCCACATGGTCCCTATCCTATCAGTTCACATCTACTTTTTTTCATCATATTAATTAATTATTTCATCTTTTCAACTATTACTTTATTTCCCTTAGTGTAAGTTACTTGCGAGCAAAGAATAAACTTCCAAAACAACCTTAATTTAGCAATTCATTAACTATTCATAACTTAGTGTTAGGCCTGATTCTTGTTTACGAAGGCTAACTGTCCTTGTCATGGTGTATGTCATTGTCGTGTGATACATGTAAACTGATTTCTTTGTTGGACAATTGTCTAAGTCGTTCTTTAATTGCTTTTTGTCATTATTATCAATTAGTGTGAGCTTTCAGAATTAGCTGGTTGTATAGAAGATGAAATTGATTTGTGAACCCCTTCTACCATGTGTCTTTTATGTTTGTTGAGTTATAACGTAATTACAAGTAAATCTCGATGATCATTATTATAATTGTTAAATTGACAAAAATAATATGGAGTGAATAACATATTATAAAATGTTAAACTATAGTAATAGCGCAAAATACTTTTTTTCGATATCAGTATAAATAACTTAAACCTCTTTTCTTTTTTTTATTTAGTTTCAGATTTTTGATAAGGAAATAAAATTAGGTGAAATACGGGTCCTTCAAGACAGTGTTCTATATATCGTGCATTTGCAACCTTAGCTTATACAAGCATTACGGGCTTCAACTATATATTCAGTATGTGGTTTTCTCCCCTCGTTGTTAATCTCAACACAAAATATTAAACGTCGAAATCAAGCGAAACTCACCTTTAAAAACAAATACAGACATGCACACACTCGATGACAAAAGACAAATGTAGGAATTCGAGGAGTTGGAAAAGTGAGGCATCTTGTAAGGTCTTTCAAGAGAAAAACTAAAAGGAAAATAAGTTTACACTTTCACAGTACAAAAGTCATACGAAATAAACTCCCTCAATTTTGGGCCACTCGCTTATTTCAAGCACATGTTTCTAATGGTGAGAATCAAGTAGTGTGGGATATTCCCACGTGAAATATTATAAATCACATGTAGAGTCGGCAATGCCCCGCCCCACCCACACAATACATAAACTACATGACACATAAATGGATGAAATATATATATATACATTCATCATTTAGAATGTATGTTGCAATATGTAAATTTTGTTTTAGAGACCAAATAAATTCATCATTTAGTCTTTACTTTCACAATTAAAAATACTCGCCATAGATAAATCAAATTTGAGTATCATATTAGGATAACAAGGAGGGCATTTAGTTCGTACACTTCCTTAATTGAAGATATAGTTCACTTTAACGATGTTCATATTAAGATTAAGGCAAAGAGAGAAAACGTATCAATAACAACAATAACTATACTGTAATTCCAAATAAGTTAGATCGCCTATATTGATTTATTGTTAGACCAATTTAATGCAAAGAGAGAAGAGGTGATAGAATTCATATATTAGTCCTTCACTCGTTTTGTTCTAATTCGTTTAGTTTAGTTTATATAAGCCACGAATATTAGGCCAATATAATAAACAAGTGATCATATGTGAATTAAGCCTGTGAGATCTTCTCTCTTTAACAGACATGAAAGGCAAATAATAACTAGGGAAGATTTCATAACTAGGCAATGTAAAAAAATAATTTGCAGATCTTTAGTATTAAAATGAATATTCGAATTGTAGCCATGAAAAAATTACCATCTTAGCAACCTTGCCAGGAAAGGAACCCTCATTTTAAGCCTAAAATCTCGTCATAATAACCTTTTTATTTTCAATCCCTATAACAACATGATGCATCCATTCCGAACATTCCTAAATATATGAAAGTTAATTAATGCTTACTATATCCATTTCATTAACTTATTCTTCTCTCTTCACAATCATTATTTCTTCCTTTTAGATAATCTTCACCATCTCGTCCAATACAACAGGAAAAGTTGGAAGAAAAAAAACATAAAGGACTAGCTTTGCAGTAGCATAAATAATATAATATATAAATTAAATATACCAATTATATATATTGTATAACTATGTATCTTCAAACCTAAAAAATACTGTTTCTTTAATTTATACAATAAATATAATATTTATATACACGTTATATAACATTTCATTGTAAAACTAATCCACGAAATATACCTATTATATACATAGTATAATATTAAATTTTAAATATACAATATACAATATACAATATACAATATACAATGTATTATATAT